GCTCGGAGATCTACCTTCTGATAAAGGCACCAGGTATCTTGTGTTGGTTTACACATCTAAAAGTCAATTAAAAAATAGTACCCACATTTTGTATTGCTAAGTTTCTTAACCGACTTTAAAAGGAGGTTCTAAATTCGTTTAATTTTTTTTATGCATGTACACTGACAATGCATACATGGCTTTTGTCCCCTACTGTGTGTAAAGATATAAAAAGTAGCCTATGTGTTCTTCCAGACTATCCTCTACGTTATGCCAAACTTTATTGCGATCTGTTCAGCAGTTTAGGCTACAAACACATAGTTATCCATCTAAACTTTCGCATTAATAGTAAGATTACTTACTGCCAGTCAGTCTGGTTAACACGTAACTTGTAGACTTCTGAATTGCCAACTAATAAATACATCGTGAGCCAAACACTATTTAAATGTACAGATACGTAGTGATGGGGAAGTACATGATGGAGGTGTGGTACCAGTCGCCGTACCCGGGGGACGCGGCGCGCGTACCACGGCTCTTTGTATGCGAGTTCTGTTTGGGACATCATAAATGCGCGGCCGGCGCGGCGCGGCATCGCACCAAGTGCGTGTGGCGACATCCGCCTGGAGACGAGGTAAACGTCGTACCAGGTCTTTGTGTACCAGTTGTATCTCCGACACAAAAGGCGTCTTCGTTTTCCATACCAATATATACTAATAAAGCGTAAACACACTTATTGGCGTAGGATGTCAGATATCACAGCATATTTTTGAATAATGCTCTGTTTATTAAAAAGACCTAGACTTACGAATCGCTTTAGGCTATATTTTCACTTAAGGAGGAAATAATAAAAAAAGTCATGCATGAAATGGACAAAAACTGCAAGCTTGGAGTTTTTGCCTTCCTTGATGTCTCAAGGAAGCAAGATTGCCATGGTAAAAGAACCTTAGTTAGTAGCCTATGTGTTCTTCCAGACTATGTTCTACATAAGCAAATTTTATCCAGGTCCTTCTAGCCCTTTATGAAAGGATTACAAGGAAATTAGGCATCTAATAGTGGTTGAGCCGGCTTTAACATCTTGACATGAATGGTCGCCCCCAGCAATACAACGAACACAATTAAAACAGTCATGAAGTGGGAGCAATTCCACGTTTCGTCTGATGAGTGTGGTGTCGGACGCCCAACTTTAGTACCTTTTCCTTCCCACCTTTTTTTAAGAGGAAAGGATGGGAAGGAAAAGTGGATTTGACGGTAGAGGAGACGCATAGGAACGGGAAATGTCCTTTTCATTTGCGTCTCCCTTTCCGTCTATATGGGGAGGCAACGCATCTGCAATTGCGGATGTTTATGGGCAGCGGTCGCTTTCCATTTC